CTTTATCATTTGGCAGTCATGGGGAGAAATTCATGTGTCTATTTTCTGACATTTCTAAGAGACACAATGTCACAGCAAACTCCCTGATCCTCTGGCTCTTTCTATCCCCTCTCCTTTGATGTTCCCTCAGCCTCAGATGTAAATAAGTTTGATAGATGTATCTACTGGGACTGGGCTCCACAACTCTCCATCTTGATTCATTGTGGTTTTGTGAAATGGTCTCCATCTGTTGCAAAGAGAAGTTTTCTTTTTTATTCTTGTAATTACTACTCTTTGTGCTCTAGGGATAAAGACTGGCTCCACTGTCAGAGGTCCCATAGACTGTCTTGGCCTCCTAGATGGCACCACATCCAGAGGGCTTGGTGTGGTTCAATGCTGGTTCCCAGCTTTATGACTAGGGTCTCCACTAGGGTCTCCATGCTCTCACTAGGTCAGGTCAAATGTTTCTGCCGGCTTCTGCAGCACCATCTTGGCTCCTTTGCTTATCCCTCTTCCCTCTCCACAATTGCATTCCAGGACTATGGTTCAGTGCTTAGCTGTGGGTGCCTGTTTCTGCTTCAGACAGCTACTGGATGGAGGCTCTAGGAATGGTAACCAAGGTAGACACTGATCTCATTATAGGGGAAGGGCATCAATGGCATTTTCTCCACCACTGTTTGGATTCTTAGTTGGAGTCATCACTGTGGATCGCCTACCATTTCCCCTGGGCCAGACCTCTCTCCACACCTGTGCTGTCTCCCTCTATCAAGGCGTCTCCTTTCCTGCCCTCCTCTATTCCTCCCCTCTCTCAGTCTTGTTCTCCTGCCCCTCCCCTTCTTCATATCCCACCCCCATCTTCTCCCCACCAGGGCTCCCAAACGATAATTTTCAAAGAAGTGTCTGCAAGGACATTACAGAGTGAGCCCCATGACAATCCTTAGCCCTTCTTCCAGGTGAATTCTCACTATTTCACCACAATCAACTCCATCATGAGACCTAGTTTGGAAGATAATTTAATGATGCTGGATTTAGGGGGAAATTCACCCACAGGTACTTGGATTCTCAGACTCAGCCCCTTAATCAAGCTCCCTGTGAGATGTTTGTGTCAAGATGCCTCAAGCTATCATGCCTGAACTATATTACCCAGGCAACAGGCAGTGCCAGAACCCCTGCACATACTAGTGGCCCTTCTGCCTCACAGTATTGATGAAAGCAAAGATAAGGAGGTCCAGAGCATTCTGCACACTTAACTGCTACAGTTTTGAGAGGAAACCAGAGTGTATTCCTGGATAATCAGAGTGAAGTGTGCATTTAGAAGTACTGCACTTTCTGATTCTTACAGCTGTGGATGTTGGAAGGAGACAGTCCCTCCCTAAACCTGGCTCTAATTTGCCCAATTGATGTTTCAGGAGGACGTGAGTAGAGACAGACATCTTGGAATAGATATTCATTCTCTCCTAATCTGAAAATTCTACCTGCCAGGGAACAACCCAAGATCTACTCTGGGTCAAAATACAGGCAGCCTCTCACCAGGATTTCTATTTTCTAACAAACTACATTAATAGAACTTTAAATTATTGTTTCCCAGATTAGAAATTGGGATTATTGATTTGTTTGGTCACAAACTCTAACAACACACAATGATCTAAACAGCTTCCCTCCTTTAAATCTCAGACCATGTTCTGCAAGTAGATACCATGTCACCCATTTTGCAGTGACTCGCATGTTGGTAGGTGCATGTTCTAGAGAAAACAGTTCTCTTTTGCAGTTGTTCCTCTTTCTACTATGACACTGACTGACAGAGGGACAAAAAGTGTTGCTGTTGTTCCCCTTATGCTCAGAATACTTTCCCCACAATACTCAGTTTCTGTGCTGGAGACATGTGAACACTCATAGCAACTAATCCATTGGGGTTCTTTCCAACCTTTTTGAAAACCATGTCTGTCATAGTTTTTCTAGGACTTGACCATTATCTCAGTGTTCTCCAAAAATGCTGTCCCCCACAGACAACAAGAAGTACTCTAGAGCACACATTCCCAAGAGGTGCTCTGGGTGATTTTTGGTCATTTGGTGGGTTGTAGATGTTTGTGATTATTTAGGAGAGTTGATTACAAATTGTTACTTTTCATGGTCAGGGAGGAAACTAAGTTGATAGGCATAAAAGTTTAAAGTGTTTAACAAAATGATTTGAGGTCTAAAAAATAGTGTTAGGTTAGTAAAACAAGTTAGGATGGCAGGAGCTGGGTTGGAGCTGGGGAAACAATAAGATGTCAAGTGGCAGTGATGGAAGTCAGAAAGCTATGGTCTATGTTACTGAGTAGGAGTTACCTTTTCTGAAGGCTTTTGTCCCTGGTCACCGAATCTGCAGGAGGTTGCATGTGAGTCTTTGTCTGGGCTGCAAGAGAGGAAGGAGACTCAGCCAGGAGGGTGGAACCCCCTACCTAGCACCTTCAGGGAAAGAAAAGACATAAACAACTCATTGCATGTGTGTTAAAATCATCCAGGAGATAGAAAAGTCCATACAATGCAGGATATCGCACACGTTTCCAGATCACATTTTTTGTTAAGATTCTGCAAGCTTTTCTAAATTGATGTGTCCCAGTCACAGCTATCCCTGGGGCACGTGCTCTGTGCCCCTGCTTGGATAGCCCACAGTGGGACCCACTGCACCCTGAGACCCAGGCCTTCCATACCCTACTCTCCTCCCTTCCTGTCTTTGGTCTGGTGCCTGAGTCTGAGAAGAAAGAGGATGAGGAGAAAGAGCAGTAAGAAGAGCACCACAGAGACTCCGATCACAGCCTTTTGGTGCCTTGCGGGTCCTAGGAGACAGGAGACATCATGAATAAGGAACATTGAACAGAACTTATTGTGTGAGACTGAGGAGATGATCATAGAGTCTGGGAGGGTTTGAACTAGGTCTTCTGCATGTGTTATGGTTTTTGTTTGGTGTTTTTGGAGACTTCTAAAAGTGTTAGTGGGGGTGTATCTGACAATTTTGCATGCTCCTTAGACACTATACTTCCTAGGGGGTAGCCTCAACCTGCATTGATATGAGGGTTTGTGGTTGATCTCACATTATACTGTTGAGGCATGTCTGTTCTTTTCTGGAGGAGATAGTACAGGGGCCAGGGCTCTGGAGAAGACTGAATGTGTTTGGGGGGATGGAATGAGTGGAGGAAGGGTAAGCAGCAATCCTTATGTATTGTATAAGAGAATAAATAAATAAATACATAAGTACATAGATACATAAATAAAAAGGAAGCCTACTGTATCAATGCCCCATGTTGGGTCTTTGAATTTACTGCCTATGATTCTCATGGCTTTGCAGCATGGGACCATCTCTGTACACTTACAGTCACCCAAAACACCCAGAAGAAAGGTGCTTGGCTTAGGATTGATCCCAGAGTGACTTTCCTCCTACCTTGTTTCCCTAGACTGGGGCTAACTCTCATGAACAGGAAGTTAATGTCCTTAATGTCTTACCCTATCCCTGTGACATGCCCCTACACAATGTCACCAACACAGTGGTTGATGGATCTGAACTATTGCAGAACAGGGTTCTAGAATCTTTCTCTGTAAGTAGATGAAGTATGTGAGGTCATCATTGAAAGGAACTTAATGTGTCTGTGTCAGGGCTCTCCCATTTACATTTAGAGAAAATGTGAACCACACAGAAGAGGCATGTACACTAGTACATGCCAACTACTCCAGACAAGAATATACCAATCACATAACTAACTTATCACCCCTCAACCCACCCTGCACAAGAGTTCTTGCTTAGACCTCTGTAGTCAGACATAACAGACATGCAGAGTTGTTTTTCATGGCCTGACACATTAGATTCAGATTTTCCCAATCTGTGGAATTGGCACATGCTATCATTTTATGTGCTTCATCATAGGACACATCAACAGGATCACACTTTCTCAGGGTGTTTCCCTTGCAGCCTAGCTTCTCAACTTCTGGGTTTCTGGAGAACATATTGGAACTTCTGCAAGACATCCAGTAGCTTGATGACCATCCAAGCTGATCAAGGAATGAAGACTCATGGGGACAGAATGTCTGCATACACTCAGGAACAAACAACCTCCAAGGACAGAAAAAACTAAAGTATCTATAGGAATGGATTTTTCAACCCCAGGAAACTGTGGGAACTTTGTTGGAGGAATGATGTGGAGAAAGATGCACAAATTTTCTCAACTCTTCTCAGTCTCCTCGCTGCACTGCAGCCTCTCCAGAACCTCCCAGCTTCCTACCTGGAATCCTCTAGATCCCCTTGAAGAAGGTGAGATGGTTATGAATTAATCTCCTCTCCTTTCCTAATCTCTATATTAGGTCAATTCTGAGGTCAATTAAACAGGGATACCCTCTGAGCTCACAAAAGTCTGGGTCACCTCACCTGAGACTGTGATCTCCACAGGGACACTGGAATGTGACAACAGGAAAGGGGATAATCTTTCAGAACCAAGGCATATATAGGAGCCTCCAAGGTCCAAGGTCACAGCACTCATGAAGAATTTTGCCTCGTGTTGTGGATCTTGAGACTGTGAACTTTGCTGCATGTAGGGATGGGCTTCACCTTCCTTGAATAGAAAGAAAGTGTCCACTGGGACTGATGACTGACATAGTAGAGTCACATTCTCTCCTGAGGACACAGTAGGTCCTGGATGCACTGAGAGATTGAGTGTGACAGGTGGAAGTTCTAAAGACAAGAAAAATGAGTGGATGAAAGGCTTCAGTCATTGCTCTGAGTCCCAGCTCATATCCCAAATGATCCTATGCCAACATGGGTCCCAGCTGAATGCACTATATTCCCCACCTGTGATCAGGATGTCCAGAGGGTCACTGGGGGCTGACCACTCAGAGGAGTTGCTGTGTGCACCAAGGCATCTATAGCGACCACCAATGAAGTAATTCCCAGAGCCTACTGTGAAGTTAGCATGAAAATGTCCATCCCGAGGCTGACAGGCAGAGACCTGTGTGAGGTCATGTTCCCCCTCCTTGTACAGAGCAAATCTGTCATAATTTGTCTCAGAGAAACACTTGAGAGTCAAGTTCTCTCCAGGGGCCAGGACAGTTTCTTGTTGGGTCACCAGGTAGGGCTTTCTTGACAGCCCTGGAAGGAAGATAGACATGGAGTCATACAGCTGCTTCTTGCAATCTATTCCATATGCCATCCTAATCTGACAGGGCCATGGCCTTTTCCCATTCTGGACCTTAGAAGTCAAGAGCTCCCTTCATCCATCATGCTCTGTAGCTTTCTGGGAGGCAGAATGACTTATAACAAAGGGTTTCTTCTGCCAAATACTTGAGTGAATATGGACACTTCCTCACCTGAGACATGTATCTCCAGGGGGTTACTGGCCTCTGACCACACATATGAGGTATTTGTATAGTATCCATAACATCTGAAGGGCCCATTCTTGCTGTATGTCACAGAGATTTCAGGAAACAAAGCCTGAGACTTTCCTTTGTTTATGAACTGTGCCTTTTGGGACCTGGGGAACTTCAGATCTGCCCCAGTCAAAATGAACCCATCGTATCCTTTGGATGAAATACACTGAAGGCTCACATTCCCACCTGAGGTCACAACAGGGCTGGGTAAGGCTGACAGAGTAGGTTTGTCATCATGGACACCTAGGAGAGGAGGAGGCACCCTGTTAGAAAAAACACAGGCTACACTGACTGCAGTAGAGAAGCAATGGAAGCACACATTCGGGAGATTATTTCCTGAGAATATAGGCAAAGACTGTAACACATAGTGTCCTCTCACCTGTCACCACCAGCTCCAGGGTGTCACTGCGCTCTGTCCACCCAGCAGAGCTGTAAGAGTAACAGTTATATCTCCCTGCATTCAGGCTAGACACAGATGGAAGAGAGAATTTTGCCTTGTTATTGTTGTCTACTTGGGTCTCTATGTGGCTGGGTTCAGGGCTTCCCTCTCTATGGATCACATATGTAAGGGCTTGTTGGGTACCCCCACACCAGATGGTAACAGAACTCCCTGAAGACACCACAGAGCCTGGATGAGCCCAGATGCTGGGTTTATGAAGGTTCCCTGGAAAGATATAGAAGAAAAACAAGTGCATGTCTTAGGACATTTGCACATTAAAGGTCACATTTGCAATGACACTTAAGCTGATCTGCAACAGCAGAAGGACACATAAAAGACCTCACTCTTCCCTTGACTGATTTGTGTCCACTGTGATTATCCACCCAGATTTTTGCACCTCCCGTCTATATTTATCACACCTTTGTTGAAACAGGTTCAATAACCCATAACACATCAGGTCCTCCCCTGGGATCCTGTGTCTGTTGTAATATCATTCAAAGACAAGACTGCATTTTCCTTACCTGAGACCAGGAGCTCTAGAGCATTACTGCTCACTGACCACAACTGGGGGTTATTCAGGTAATAGCCATAGCATGTGAACCTCCACCTCTGGTTATGGGTCACGGGACCCACTCTGAAATGACCTCCTGAGAGCCCATGGTGTCTGTTCTGTGAGGACACAGGCCTGGAGAACTTCTGATCTTCATTCAGTAGAATGAATCCGTTATATGCCTGTTGTGATACACACTGAAGAGTGACATGCTGTCCTGAGATCACCACAGGACTTGGAAGGGCTGACAGGGTGACTTTGCTGGAGTAAAACCCTATGAGAGAAGAGGAAGCCTGCTAAGTGGAAACAATGTAAAAATTGCCTTCCTCTTCAGGAAGTAGAGGAGGAGACACCATGGTGACCATATTCTTTTCCTGAAAGAAATTCCAAGGATTGAACAATTATTCTCTCACCTGTCGCCGCCAGTTCTAGTGGGTCACTATGCTGTGACCACCCTGCAGATCCATAAGAGTAACACCTGTATTTCCCTGCATGATGCCTTTCGATGGATGCTATGGAGAACAAGGCCTTGTTACCAGGCTGTTTTGGAGTTTGACTATCCAAGGGTACTGGACTTCCTTCCTTGTGGAGGAAATATATTTGGGTTTCCTTGGTCCCCTCACACAAGACAGTCACATCATTCTTCAAGGCAATCACGGAACCTGGCTCGGCCGACAAAGTGGGTTTTTTACATTTCCCTGGAAGGAAGTAGATGAGAAGGAGTAGGACATTGAACAGTTTCTCAGTAATAGTCAAACTTGCTGCTGCTCTTGTACTTTACTACTGATTAGAAAAGGAACGTTATTGCTATAGAAAGACTCATCACTCTCCGAATCCCTGCAGGTTTCAGAGTTCCTATGCCTTCCTCTCATTTTCTGTACCTTGATTCCCATAGTCTGTATGCGGTGTCAATTACCTCAGCCCTGAATCATCAGACATATCACACACCAGGGCTCCACTGGGAACCTGTGTTCAGTAGAATGCGATTTCACGGAGTTTCTGAGACTTCCTCACCTGAGACCACCAGCTCCAGAGGGTCACTGGCTTTTTACCACACCTGAGGATAACTTGTGTAATAGCCAAAGCTTCTCCGTGGCTGGAGTTCACTAGGTGCACTTGGAACTCAGTATGGAACATCCCAGTATGTATATCACCTGAGCTCTGAGGGCTGGAGAAATTCTGACCATCCTTAGTTAAAAAGAACAAGTCACAACTCAAATTTGAGCTACAAATGAGGGTCACAGGCTCTCTTAAGTTTACAACAGGGTTTTGCTGGGTTAACAGTGTGGGTTTGTTGTAGAATCCTAGATGAAATAAAATATACAATGTTAAAGGGGCTCATACAGTGTGAATTGTACCCCAAGGCTGTCCTTTGACAGGATATACTGCTACATCACTCTTTCCATGAGAGTGACATCTGTGGTTAAAATTTTATGTGTCCTCTCATCTGTCACAAGCGGCTCTAAGGTGTCACTGCGCTCTGACCATCCAGCAGAGTTATAAGAGGAACACTGATATCGCCCTGTCTGCAGCTATGTCACAGATGGAATGGAAAGTATTGTCATATTCTTGTGGGCTATTTGGGTCGGTTGGACCAAGAGTTCTTGATTTCCCTCTTTATATATCACAATTGTTATGGTTTCTTAGATTGCCATGACCAGATAGTAACAGGACTCTCTGAGGGGATCACTAAGCCTGGCTCAGCCCATATGGTGGGCTTGTGAAGTAATCCTGCAAAGCGTTAGAAAAAAAAAGTGCATCTGTTAGGGAAATATCACTGAGAAGGTCACAATTATCATTGATGCATAAGCTCTTCTGCAATAGCAGAGGACACATAAAAAACACACTTTCCCTGGCTCTTGGATTCCACTGTTATTTCAACCCTAGTTTTGGCACCTCACGTTCAGCTATATCACACATTCTGTGGCATTGAATTCAGTAGCCTTGGCTCTCAGTCAACTACCACACATCAGGTCATTGGCTGGAATCTTGTGTCAGTTACAATTGCACTCAAATGAAACTCCTGCACTTCCTTACCTGAGACCAGGAGCTCGAGGTGGTTACTGGGCAATGACCACAGCTGGGGGCTGCTCCCAAGATAACCATAGCATGTGAACCTCCACCTCTGGTTGGCGGTCACAGGACCCACTGTGAACACAGCTTTAGGGTACATATTCTGTGAGGGAACTTGACTGGAGAACTTCTTGTCATCCTTCATTAGAACAAAAGTGTTATACATCCCTTGTGACTCACACTGAAGGGTCACATTCCCTCCTGAAGCTACCACAGGGCTGGGAATGGCTGACAGAATGGGGTTGCTGGGATGAACTCCTAGGAGAGAAGAGGAAGCCTGTTATTTGGACTTTTATAAGAAGCATTGTTCCCTTCTCCTATTTGAGAAAGGAGGCCCCAGTGAACATATTCCTTTCCTTACGATAATCCTGGTGTTGGGGGGGAAGGGTTCTCTCACCTGTCACCACCAGCTGCAGCATGTCACTGTGTTCAGATGTTTCATTAGAGCTTTTATATTCACACCAATATTGCCCTGCATTGTACCATTGAACAGATGAGATAGAGAACGTGCCCCTGTTGTCAGTTTCTAGAATGGTTGTTGGTAACAGGTAATCTTGACTTCCTTCTTTGTAAAGACGATATTCCTTGGTATCTAAAGGCCCTTCACAGAAGAATGTCACCTGGTTCCCAGTGGCTACCACATTACTTGGCACTGTCCTGAGTGTAGGAATAAAAAGTGCCCCTGAAAGAAATTGACAATAGGTTCCACAGATCTCCCCATCTGATATAAGTACTCAGACCCAGGACCACCCAGAACTCCCCTCAGACACAAGTTCTCAGACCCAGAACAATTCAGGCATCCCCAGCATCAGGCCAAATCTGCTGTTCTCATCTGCTCTGATCATGAGTTCCCTGTGATTCCCCATCATGGTGTCCAATCTGGGGCAGCTGGGAAGACACTCACCTGCCAGCACTGGGATCCTGATGTTCAGACTCAGTCCTGCAATAGAGTTACCTGTGAGTGTTTGCCCTGAAACAGGAGCACGATCTCCACTTCCTGGTGCCTTCTGGACCTGATGAGACATCCCGATGTCCCAAATCTTGACCTTAAGGTAGATTCCCTCTCAGACTGGAAATATCTCTCCCTATTTGATATCTCACCAAGATAAAGCACAATTGTCACAAAAAGCATCATGGCAGCTTCTAGTTGCCACAAGTTTGCTGATAATTCTCCTCATGTCAAAACACAGTAGACAGACATCTGGCATCTGGAGGGTGGATTCTTCTCCTTCTCATGAAGATGTTATATTAGCAGCCACTGAGGAAGAGGAACTGTTCTAACCAGGCAAATGACTCTTCTTCCCTAATCCATGAGAAGTAGTGCTCCAGAATGTGGTTCCTATCGCTGTGTGGTTCTTTAGTTTCTGTTTTTGCTTCTGAAACTGAACATCTTAAACTTCATGCGTATTTCAGGTTCCTCCTCCTTCTCTCTGAGCTTCCTGTGCTCCGGGATTGCAAATGCAAGTCTGACTGTGGTCTCTTCCTGAAGATAATCTCCAGTGTAACCCTCCACATCTGCCTGAATGCTCCCAGTCACCACAAAACAGCATGTAACCCAAAATAAACCTGGTGACTTCCTGAGCCACCGCTTCACTTGAGGGGCTCTGAGGAGGTTGGTGTTTTTCTCTCAGAGCTTCATCTTGTGTCTCCTTTACTCCTTCAGACAGACCAAACTCATGGCCAGTTCCCTAGCCTGCCTGAGAGATGCTTTGGGGATGTTGTGTGAACTTTATGTAGGGTTACAAGAACACTGCCTACAGACCCCGCATGAGACAACGGTGACAGAAACCAAGACTCCACTCGAATCAAGCTGAGGAACAAATGACGTACATTAGAAGTGTGCTGACAATATTGGGGACGTATTGCTGGTTCTTTGTTTGTTTGTTGATACAGGTTCTCACTATGTTGCTGTACATTTACTGGGACTTGCTATGTATACAGGACTAGATCCAAAACCATTCCTGCACACAACTGTTGAGAACAGTGTGCTCTGTTGTGCCCAGAAGTGTTGGAAACTTCCCAGTACTCATATTCCCCCAAAAAAAGCTTTGTCTGCAACTTTCTATTGCCTATAGTTCTCTACACCATGAAAAATACTGTTGGGGCCATTGTTATACAGGTCATCTGTGTGCAGCTGCCAAAACTTTAATGGGACAAGAGTCATGCCATGCCTGGAGAGCACTGATCCACAGCAAAAGAAGATGCAGGTTGGTGCTGCTGGGAGAACACAGACCAGAAGGGACAAACTGGACAGCTTATCCTTCAATTCACTTGGGGACACAGATGATACTTGCAAGAAAATTAGGAATGAAGTGTGGTATTCTCGTGGCTCTTGATTTCATTCCATCCTGCTAACTAGATTCAGTGTCCTTTTCTTAACAATACACATGATTTCCATAGGAACAATCATCTCAGCATTCTTTCTCCTTTGGTGCTCCTATTTCATTGTTCAGAATCCTTCCTAAATTGTGAAGGGGATTTTATGTTGTCCAATCACAGTTGTCCATTCTAACTTAAATGTTGGCATACAGCCATGAGCCACACCATCATCTTGATTTTCTAGTATCAGCGTCATTATACTTTTACTTATGGGTTCAAGGGTCCTTATGATCTGGATATTCAAGGAATGGCTAACTTTCAGAATGTTTTACAGTGTAGTTGGGGTAGAAGAGGGTTTGGGTCATGTAAATGTTATGGTCAAAGGGCCCCTCTCTGCTCTTAGGTTTTGCAAATGATTATGTCTAAACTGTGAATGTCATCAAAATCATGAGCTGAAAAAGAGAACTAAAATCTTCCCCTAAACTGAAAGTTCCTAAAATGTATATGGGTCCTTGTTCAAGAAAAGAGGATAACACTGTTCCTAACCTTGTGAAGGACCATTGCAGAGAGACTTTCTCTTCCATGGTGGCTGACATAGAGTCAGGGCGCCAAGATTATTGGTAGCAGTGTGTCTCTGTTCTCTCTCTGAAGATGGGTACTGCAATAGCTCATATTACTATCTGGTACCCACCGTGACATTAAAATAGATTAATTCCTTATTATATCCACAAGTATATTGTCTCTGGTGTAGGTATGTTTTATTATTTAAAACACCATGCACTTACAGTGGGAGACTTCAAAACCCCACTCTTGCCACTGGACAGGAATACCAGACAGAAACTTTACAAAGAAGTAAAGGAACTAATAGAAGTTATGATTTAATGGTGTTTAAGAGACATTTATAGAACATTCCATCCAAACACAGAAGAATATACCTTCTTCTCAGCACCATAGGGAACATTCTCTAAAATCGACTGCAAACTCGGCAACAAAGTAAACCTCAACAAGTACAAAAAAAATTGGAATAATCCCCTGGATCTTATCAGACCACCATGGCTTAAGGGTAGAATTCAACAACACAAATTGCAGAAATGCTTCAAACGAAAGGAACTTAAACAAAGCTCAATTGCATCACTACTGGGTCTAAAAAGAAATTAAAGACTTCCCAGAATTCAGCAAAAATTAAGGCACAACATAACCAAACTAGTGGGGCACTTTGAAAGCAGTGCTAACAGGAAAGTTCATAGCACTAAATGACAAGATAAAGATGTGAGGAGCCGCACTCACATTCGCCATTACAAGATGGCGCTGACATCCACTGCCGGATCAAGTAAACAACGTTGGTGCGCATGTGCCCAGTGCTTTTCCACTTGCCTAGTCTTGCCTTTTCCATGGTGTCATATAGGGTGATGAGTCCGCTGTTCCCAGCCTATATAAGGGATGGGTTTTTGGGAGTTCGGGGTATCTGCCCTGTAAGCTTATGCTCTCTCTCTCAAGATGCATTAAAACTTTACTGCAGAAGGATCCGAGTGTCCTCTGTCGTTCTTGCTGGCAAGACGATCGCACGGGACATAAAGAAACTGGAAAATATTCACAAGGAACTCGACAGCACACCTGGAAGCTCTAGAACACAAAGAAGCAGACTCACCCCTGAGTAGCAGGCACCAGGAAATAGTCAAATTGAGAGCCAGAATCAATAAATTAGAAACAAAGAAAACAATACAAAGAATCAATTCAATAAAGAGTTGATTCTTCAAGAAAATCAACAAGATGGAAAACCCTTATCCAAGCTAACCAAATGGCAGAGAGAGAACGTGCAAATTTACAAAATCAGAAAAGAAAAGGGGCACACAACAACGGACACTGAGGAAATCCAGAGAATCTTCAGGTCATGCTTTGAAAACCTCTACTCCACAAAATTAAAAAAACTTAGAGGAAATGGTCAATTTTCTAGATAAATATCACTTACCAAAATTAAATCAAGAGCAGGTAAGCAGCATAATATACCTATAACCCTTATTGAAATAGAAGCACTCATCAAAAGCTTCAAAACCAAATAACAGCCAGGGACAGATGGTTCCGGTGCAGAATTCTACCAGAAATTCAAAGAATAATTAATACCAATACTTCTCAAATTATTCCACACAACAGAAGCAGAAGACTCATTGCCAAAGCATATTTACAAGGCTACAATTACCTTGATATCAGTTTTGTGAGGCATGAAACATATATTGCTTTAGAAGAGATTCAAAATAATAAGCACTGTGAACAATAATATAAAGAAAACAGAAGCATTCTGATTATCTTTAAAGATTGGAAGGTACAAAAGAGATCGTTAAAGTACTTTACATGGCATATAAATATTCCCAAAGTATGCATGAACTACAAGAAAACACACACTAATGTTGAACTCATTAGTTGTTTCTGATTTAAAATTTGTTGATAATAGAATTTGAGGCTGTTGTCTAAGTACGCGGGTTACAGTTTTCTCTGATTTCAGCAACTCCAAGCCCTCAGCTGTTTTAAACACTCTCCCTTCCTGAAATTGAAACTTTTATCAGATCTCTTTTAGTGGGCTCCTTAAATATAGTCATGCTGAAGTCTGGCACCCTAACTAGGAGTGATAATCCCATAACAAGTGATCAGACTCTCCAGCATACTGCTGAGGGCTGAAATCTCAGAGGAGTGGCTCCATGTGCCAGTGCATCTGTAAGATGTGCCTGTGAGAGCTTCGTAGAGGGCCCAGGGGGAAGACGGCCTAGAAGAGCTCAGGCTGGACCATTTTTCTATGAGGATGGGTGATGTGAGTACTTCCATGCTTGTTCAGAATGAATCTCTCATAGCCGACAACAAGGAGAAACTGGAGGTTCAGTTTGTCTCTGAAAACAGCAGAGGCATTCTGGGTCACCAGAAATGACTTCCTGGGAAATGCTGAAGGGGCATGACGTGAGAACCTAGGCAGCATTCTCTAATTTTCTCAATCAGGTTGTAATTTTCACAATCTGGCTTATGAGAACCAAGCTCCATGTGTTCACTTTCTCTCTCTGACTCTCCTTGGATCAAGGTTCACAGCAAGAAAACCAGTTCTCAAAGTAACTGAGTCAAGATTGGGGCTTCCTCACCTGAAGGCAGGGACCACTGAGCATTGGTGTTTGGGTCCTGTTGTAAGTATAGACTCTGTATGTTCCCGAGGGCTCATAATTATTGGACTCAGGATGAACAAGGCTTATTTCTGCTGGAGCCCATGTAAGAAGTAGTATTTTCCTTTATAAACAGAGACAGGGGTGCCTCTTCCATCCATCAACTTGTTCCCAAATACCTGTCAGCTGTTTGCCACATGGCCACACAGAGGGTTTTAATAATTATTACAGGCATGGCTAAGAGCACGATCTTATAACTAACTAACCAATTTCTATTAAACTATTCATTGCCACACAGCTGCGGCTTTGCTCTTCCTCTAGCATCTTGTTTCTTATTTGCTTGCATCTCAATCAGCTTTGCCCCCCCCCCTGTTCCTCTGATCCCCAGTTTGATTGCTCCACCTAACCTTATCCTGCCTTACCATAGACCAAAAAGCTTTACTATTAACCAATGAGAGTAATACATACTCACATCCTATAGAAGCATCATCCTAGAGCACTCCTTTTTGGGCAAGAATTGAGCTTGGGAATCTGAACTGTGACCCACACTGGAGGATCGTGGTCCC